AAAGATTTGTACATGAATGTTTATAGTATGTTATTCATAATTGCCAAAAAACACAACCACCCAAATGTCTGACAGGTAACTGGGTAAGTTATGGTATATCTGTACACTCTTAATACTGCATGCAGCCATTGTGTGAATCTCAGGATCATGCTGAGCAAAAGAAGCCATATGTTTATGTGAAATTCTAGAAAAGGCAAAACTAATCGCTAGTGACAGAAATCATTATCAATGGTTGCCTGAGCCTAGGGTGGGTGTTATTAATTGCAGAAATGTGTGAAGAAAGTTCTAGGGGTGATGGATATCCATCTTGATTGTGGTTGGTCTTTAGACAAGTGTATATATATGTGTTTGTGAAAACCCCTTTAAACTGTGCATAAAAATTGGGTGCATTTTGTGTTGTATACTAGTTACACCTCTCAATAAATTTGATTTTTTTAACGCGAGAGAAACTGAAAAATCTAAGTAAAAATAGAATTTAGGCCACTATAGAGCACAACTGAAAAATGTGTGAACTCCATGTATTAAGGATTTTAATTACTTTAAAGTCGTAAATGATTACTGACTACACAGGAGTAGCAGAAGGGCATTCCCTTCGGTCTTGCTCACTTTCCACATTGTGATTATGAGGGCTTGGAGGGCAACAAAGTAGAAGGGAAACCAGAATTTGAAACTGTATTTGGATAAAATAACACCTTGTCACCACCGTCACGCATACCAGTCCAGTCAACTGCTAAATTCTCTATTGGTGTCAGAGGAGAGATTTAGCTTGCTGTGTGAAGACTGATGAACTTTTTTTGAAATTGTGTAGCGTTAGATGAAAGAGGACTGAAGTGCTAATGTCTATGTAGGCCAGTTGTTTGGTTTTAGAAATAGTAGAATATACAAGAAAATAGCAGCAAACTTGAGTGAGAGATACTTGAGGCTTTTTATAAGTAGACTAGACTGGTAAATGCCTGCACCTACAGATGGTGTAGGCATAGTATTTGAATTTCAGCAAGGTATTTGAATAATATTTCTCATGATATTCTTGAGGATAAGATGGAGGTATGTAACAAACTTGAAGAATTTAACTAGGTTCATAACTGTATTATTGTCATGCCTGAAGGTCTTAAGCTAGGAGATCTTTGTCCTCCTTCTTCTCTTGAATATGACTGCGTATTTACAGATAACTTAGATGAGGGCATCATTAGCATGCTGATCTTTTATAACTTATTTTTTAGTGAAAAGTAAAATTTTAATAAGCTGAAATTATAGGTCATGTCTACAAAATATGAAATCTTATCCAAATCCAAAAAAGAGAAGTATACAAATGTTGGATGAGGGAAATGGTTTTGTAGGGGCAATGCAAGAACAACAACTCTCTAGGGTTGTAATTGAATATAATTTGAATAGGAGTCAGTTGAGTGACTGTGGCTCCCATAATAGTAATGGCTGGTGCAATAAACATTTTTTCCCACTGTAAGGAAGATGAAGATTAATTTGGGTTTTGTTTTTTCTGTTTTTTGAGATTCCAAATGTAAGTGAGATCATACAGTATTTGTCTTTCTCTGACTTATCTCACTTAGCATAATGCCCTCAAGATCCATCCATGTTGTCATAAATGACAGGATTTCCTTTTTTTATGGCTTATTCCTGTGTGTATGTATGTGTGTGTTACATTTTCTTTATCCATTCATGGACGCTTAGGTTGTTTCCATGTCTTGGTTGTTGTGAATAATGCTGCAGTGAACATGAGAGTGCAAATAACTCTTTGAGATCCTGATTTAAATTTTTTTGGATATATGTATACCCAAAAGTGGGATTGCTACATCATGTGGTAATTTTGTTTCTAATTTTTTGAGGACCCTGCAGTCTGTTTTCCATAGCAGCTGCACCAATTTATATTCCCACCAACAGTGCATTATTCCCTTTACTCCTTGCCAGCACTTGGCATTTCTTGTCTTTTTGATAATAGCCATTCTAACAGATATGAGGTGATATCTCATTGTGGTTTTGATTTGCATTTGCCTGGTGATTAGTGATGTTGAACACCTTTTTATGTATGTACCTGTTGGCCATTTGTATGTCTTCTTTGGGAAAATGTCTATTTTTAAAACTAGATTGGGTTTTTTGCTACTGAGTTGTATGAGTTCTTTATATTTTTTGGGTATCCCCTTATCGGATATATGATTTGCAAATATTTTCTCCCATTTGGTAGGTTGCCTTTTCATCTTGTTGGTGGTTTCCTGTGCTGTGCAGAAGCTTTTTTGTTTGGTGTAGTCCCACTTGTTTGTTTTTGCTTTTGTTGCCTTTACTTTTGGTGTCAGACCCAAACAACTTGTCATCAAGTCCAATGTCAAGGAGCTTACTGCCTATGTTTTCTTCTAGGAGTTTTATGGTTTCAGGTCTTACATTTAAGGGGGGGATGAAGATGAGAATCTCACTCTAGTTTGTGTTGATCAGATCAAATCTAGAGCATTGTATTTCCTTTCGGGGCATCATATTATGGTCTGAAAAGAATGTTGAAAAGCTGAATCTTGGATAAGACCTTGGAAGAAGCAAGGTAGAGAACAAATTTTACTGGATGATTTGCCAGCTTTAAGATTAAATTGAGTCTGTAAATGGACACTTTTTCTTTTACAAGGAAGGAGACTCCTAACAGAAACCTATCAAGAGAATGATATTCATTTAGTTTATAGCATGTTTTTTCTTTCCTGCTACTTTTATAAACTTATAAGGTTCTACTTAACATCTTCGAAAGGTAAGAAGGAGGTCCAATTTAATTGTCCTATGTAATGGATAGACTTGCATCATCTGTAGCAAAGTCAGTTTATTCTTATTCCCTTCCTTACCTTCAACCAGTTATGTGGTTTTTGGCATCTTCCACTGTAACTGGTTGGTGCTTAGGAAATAATGGTTTGGTGTCAGCCTATAATATAATTATTTAGGGTAGTAATTACTCTGGAATATTATGTAGGGATTGAGGTATGATACCTATCCCATTTTTCCAGCTGGGGAATTTAAGTCTCTTTTCTTTCCAACCTTCCATTATATAGACCTGGATTTCTGTTCTTTTGCTGCTTTTGTTATAGAAGTATTACAGAGAGAGTTTATTAAATGACATATAAGTTAGTAAAGCAATTTCTAAACAATAGAGGATTACACAATAATAAAGTAGTGTTATTTCAAGTTGCAGCTGTATGCAACTTTGGCCTATAATAGATTTATGCTGTTTATGGTTATATCACTAGCTCAGCCATCATATTATATCTTGTTAATTACCTAGTACTTTCCTGGTCAGAAATTTTCTGTCTTCAACCCTCTAGTTACATTTCTGTCTACCTTATTCTTGCTGTATTTCTTTGTATCAGATTTGTTGAAAGCATTGACACTATCCATCAAGAAATACCTTTATCTTCCCATCTTATAACTTCATCATGCCTCCATATTCTCATGTATACCATCCATTTGTTGTTATTGTTGTTTTTAATTTCAAAGGAGACAGAATGTCTTTTCAAAGACCAACACCTTATCTGTGCACTAAATACCAGACTGAAGCACTGAGCTCCACCGCCAGCACCATCACCTGTCCCCTTTTCTTTCTAATGAGGATAAGGTCTCCCCATCTTGGAACAGCTTTTGATTGAGACTCAATTTTCTCCATCTGTTTTTTACCTTTGTTTGCCACTGCAGAACTTTTTAAGCAAATGAGACCTATGACATCATGTTTTTTTCAATGGAAGAGTGACAGTGTGATGTAGTATATCAAATGCTAGGCCTAAAAAATCATAACAGCAAGATAAGTTCAGATTGTGATAAATGCTGTGAAGGAAGTAAACAGTATCGTGTAAGAGTAATTGGAGGAGAAGGAGTTACTTGTATAAACAAGTAATTTTAAATGAAAATTTGATCTGAGAAAAAATTTCGAGATCTTGATCTCTGGATGAGAAAATTTAATTGAAGGTTTAAAATTTAATTGAGAAAGCACAAATAATAAACTTAATTATTTGCAAATCTTTCATTTTTAACAGTGTTCATTACATAATTTTGATTATATCATTTGAATTTTAAGGTTTTACTTTAAGGCAAAACTTGTTTCCTAACAGTCATTGTTAGATTTCAGAAGTCTCATATGTCTGTTCTTTCCAGTATTAAATGAAGAAAAATAACCTTGCAGGACATTATATGCATCTTATTGTAGTTGATTCAACAGATATGTATTGAATACCTGCCACATGCCAGGCACTGTACTAGGCACTGGGGATAAACAGAAATAAACTAGGCACAGCTCTTTAAACTCAACTAAGACAGTTTTTAGGGGTATCAGATGATTTAAACTTACCATTGACTTTGAAATAGATTCACTGTGTCCATTACATTAGAAAGTTAGCTCCTGACTAGTTTTAAGAAGGTCTTTTTAGAATATATAATTCTACTTTTAAAAATAGTTTTATCAAATGGAGTTTACATTCCAAATAGAAAGTGAACATAGGCAGGTGAAAAAAATACATGAATCAAACTGTTAAAATAATTACTACATAACTGAACAGGGGGAAGAAAGATCACTTGTGGTTGAGTCTTGGAAAGCTTCAGTTAGGAGTCATAATGTATATTGAATCTTAAAGAATAAGTATGATTCAGCAGAGAATAGTATGAAAGCTAATTTGGTGTGAGAGGGGAGCATTGGTCACAGAGGTGGGATTAAATACCAAGGTATACTTAAAGGACCTGGATAAATAGGCTTGACTGGAGTGGAAGGTTTGTATTGGTAAATAGTAAAAGATAAAGCAAAGTCTTTCAATAGAAAAGATTTTGGTTGTACCATAATAGTAATATGGTCCTAAAATCCTTAGTTCACTTGCAGTCTATTTTACTATTTCTTATTTAAAGGGCTTATGTACAGTTTTCAGTTGTATCATGATTCTAAATAAATCTTTATTTATACCCCTAAATGTGTTCTATAGATACTGAGGCCAGAGTCTTTAGCTCTACTCAGGTTAAAATGATGTTTTGTTTTTCAGTTACTTACACGCCAAGTCAATCATCCACAGAGACCTCAAGAGTAATAGTATCCTTCTTGAATTTGTCTGCGAAGTTTGAAAACATCCTGACCTTTTCTCCTGCATTTTATCTTCACATTATGTAAAAACAGTTTTCATGCTAAGTTCAATAATACACTTACTAAAGGGAATTAATAAATGGGTTTACACAAGAGTATAGTAGTACAAGGTACTACAACCTGCTTTTGGTTTTTGAACAATTGACCATTACAAAAAAACCTATCAAGTCATTATGATAATAGGACTCTTTGCTTGCTTGTTTATGTTCTGTAAGCACTACAAGATGCATAGTTTTGTAGCTATCTACTAGTTTCTTTCAGTGCTCTGACCTTGCTCAGTGGTAGTTGAGATGTAACTGAAGGCTCTACATTATATAACAATGAGGTGAGAAAAACGTAACGTTTTTTCTTCCATAAGCCCAGATTAAGATCCTGTCTGCCAGTTGCCTTCCTTCATTCCAGTGAAGAGCCTTTACAGCTTTCCCAGCAGTGCCAGAAAGATATTTGGGCCTACATTACTAAAATCTAATGGGAAAGTTTCAGTGTCTCCCATAAACTTAGGAAAACATCTCACCTCATCCTACCACATTTCAAGCACCAAATATCTTAAAAGCAGGTCACAGAGTCCAAATAACACTATTTTTAAAACATATTTATTAACTTTAAAATAAATATGAAGTACTATACTTCTTTAAAGAATATCATAATATATAGAATTATAGAAATTAGATCTCTTACCTAAATTTTTTATAATGGTTGCTTTGATAGGAAAATGAGATCTGTTATTTTCCTTTACTTACTACACCTCAGATATTTTTCTTCATGAAGACCTCACAGTAAAAATAGGTGATTTTGGTCTAGCCACAGTGAAATCTCGATGGAGTGGGTCCCATCAATTTGAACAGTTGTCTGGATCCATTTTGTGGATGGTAAGAATTGAGGCTATTTCTCCATTAATTAAATTTTTGGACCCTGAGATGCTGTTGAGTTATTAGAAAGTCACTGAAGATTTCAACTATAGCATTTTCATAGTTCTCAGTATTCACAAAAATCAATGTTGATCTTATTTTATATATAAATAGATTTTAACTTTTTTCTTTATCTTTAAAAAGAATATTATGAAACCAGTTTCAGTATATTTCAAACAAAAAGTGTATTTTATAAACACTGTTTAAATTTTATTCAGATTGTCTCTTTAAAATATTTTGTGTTCAGAATGTTCTGTGTATCCTGTTTCAAAAAAAAAAAGTATGCAATTTAAGCAGGTGTGATCTGCAGCCATTATTAAGGTTTCAATAAAAGAATTACTCCCTTTAAGAGAGAGGCTGTTTCACAATCTTATTTAAGCCTAAATTGGAAAGTTACTTTCTTTAGACTAGAAAGAACCGTATAATTATGGGCAGCCGGGAAAGGAAAGACAAAAAGAAAAATGAAAGGTAGATTTTTAACACTGTCAGTTTTATGGGCCCTGCATAGCTCTTTCTTTCTTTATTCCTATTTCTGCTTTGCGGAAAATAAGAAAGAGAAGTTATAAGAGAAGGGAACTAAAACTTCTGTGCAGTTACTTGCAGCAGGCTGTGAAAAGGGCAGCATAGGATCATTTTCTTAAGCCAGCTGTTCTCAGGAGGGTCCTTAAGACCCTTTCAGAGGTCCCCAAGGTCGTCCTGTGTGAAACTAGATTTTTCTTCATATTCTTCAACACATCAGAGCAGATTGAATGCATAAGCAAATATGTGACTCTAGCTGGCTGCTGTTAAACCAGTCAAAAAGAATTGCAGGGACTTCCCTGGTGGTCCAGTGGTTAAGATTCCACGCTTCCACTGCAGGGGTTACGGGATCAGTCCCTGGTCGGAGAACTAAGATCCCACATGCCGCGCAGCGTGGCAAAAAAAAAAAGAAAAAGAATTGCAGTACTATTCTTCTCACTAAACTTTGTTTTTGAAAATACAGTTACTTTTCATTAAAAAAATGGGTGATCTATGTTAACATCTAATGACTGTTTTGTTATTTAAATTAATAAATATTTTAACAGTTTCTCAGTTAAGTTTTAATATGATGAATATCCACAGGTATAATCCACATAAACAGAAGCTTCTTGGGGTTGTCCATAATTTTTAAGACTGAAAAAGAGTCCTGAGACCAAAAAGTTTGAGAACGTCTGCTCCAAGCTGAATACAGGGTGTCCCAAAGCTCTTAGTGCAGTTTTAAGCTTTAAATAACTGAATCTGCAGTAAGACTTTGGGACACCCTGCTGGAAATAGAAAAGCTGCAAGGGCTTTCAAAGCCACATTGGCCTAAATTCCCTGAACTTATCTGTAGCAGTTCCATAAAGAGAATTCCAAGGTAGGATTCTGAATTAGTCAAGATACGCCTAGGGTTAAATTTGGCCATGATTTCTTGTAATAATAACTGGCATTAGAGTGGCAAGGTGGGAAGGGGGCGGCATTGGACTAGGAGTCAGAAGGTCTGTACTCTCGTGCTCTGTTTGACTCTTAACTTGCACGTTCCTTGACCTCCTCCAAGTCTCTCCATCTTTAACATTGGGTTGAACTAGTGGATTTTGAATGCATTTTTTTCAGGTTAGTAATTAGAGTTAGCTATATTTTTTTCTTCAATATGTTTGTTTTAATAAATAATTATAAACAAGAAGCTAATTAATAATTGTAATCTGGATCTCAGATACCTTTAAGGCATATACCTTGTAACAAAGATAACAGTGTATCCTAAGGGGGAGAGAAATTGCAAAACCTACAATTATAAAGAAACAATTGTTACATGTTTTAAAGGTGTGTTTATTTTAGCTACTGCAGGGAAAATTAGGCTCAGTCAAGTCTCCAGATTTGTCCTTTTCCAAAAAACCTTAGTTTATACAGTTTATAGACTACTATTATACATGAAGGTTTATATTTTCTTTTAATTTCTTTTTTGTTGATACCTGGGTAGATGGGTTCATCCTTTATTCCATCAAGCTGCGTTTTAAGACAAGAGATTAGTCAGTAGTACACTTAATTGTTGAGTAAAATCCTTTTGGGTTGATATTGCCTTCAGAAACAAAGATGGTATTTCCATAGACTAGGAGAGAAGAGTTTGTTCAGAACCAAAGGTTATGTAGTTCTCTGAATTATTTACAATAGTATTCTCAACCTTGCTTTATTTATATCTTAAAGAAGAAAGAAACTTCTGTGAAAATTTTTACAAATTACTTAATTAATTGAAGCTAAATCATGCGTTTCTTATAAATAGATCCCATACGACCTTTCATCAAACAATCTACTAACAACAGTGAGGTAAAACTAAATTTTAAAAGGGTAGTTCTTACACTGTCCCTCACAGAAATTGTGTTCTGGCTTTGAAAATTATGTCTGTATCATAACCAGCCTCTTATATTCTGGCTTGTTCATTACATCACAGTTGTATGTGGTTTATTTTGCGCTGTACTACCAAGAGCAGTTATCAATAAAATATATGACAAAAGCAAATAGATAAAACCTTCTTCACTGCATGCCCCCCCCACAATCCTTTACTCTCATCTGGATCTCCCACACATCTTTCATCAGTGGTTCTCAACCTTGGTTGGACATTAAAGTCATCTGGGGAACTATAAAAACTCACAATTGAAGCTGTTCCCATCCCCAGACTCTGATGGTATATTATTGGGCTAGAATGTAGTCTGGATGTTGAGAGGTTAAAGGCTGCACAGGTGAGTCTGTTTTGCAGGTGAGGCTGGATGCTCTTACTGCCTGCCTTGAGAGATAGCCTGACCTGCCTTACCCTGACCAATAACCAAGAATCTTGTCCCAGGTCTTTCATTTTTGCAGTTAGTCCTGGTTTTGGTATCAAATTAATGTTTTCACAAAGTTTTTTTTTAATACCCTGCAGTTTCTCTAATTTCTTCCAAATGAAACAATACAGAAGATGCAAGGTGAAAGAACTCCTTTAAGCTAAGATTTAATCAACCGTTTATTGTATTTCATGTAAACAGCTAATAAAAAATCTAGCTGTAGAATACAGTGACTGAAATGTGTAAAAATGTAACAAATATGATTAGGTCTGTATCTTTGCCCAAGAAGCAGCAGCCAAAAGATTCTTTATACCATCTTCTACTAAATCTACCTACTGTCTATTGCTTTTGTTAATAAAGCATCCATAGCATATTTATACTGCTTTTGGAGGCAAGAAAGGAGTTTGAGTTTATCAGTTTTGAAATTTTACCTTTATTGTCTAAGGTGCCCTGAGATAAGGAGAATCATTTGTACCAATGGGAAACTTAAATTCTAAGGTGATTACCATAGTGGTTGTGCTACTTCCAAACGTCTCATAACAACAGGTCTAGTATTTCTTTCCTGAATCAGGAATGGAAGGTAGGAACTCACTCTTGATAGGGTAAGTCATGGGAAAAATTCAAATGGCAGTGATGGTATTTTGTACAGAAAGAGGGCAGCTGATAAAATTATAAAATCTTAATAATGTATATAGAATCTCAGCTAGTACTGCCTCTCTCAGAGTTTACAGAGCATTTTTTTAATTTATCTTTCATAATCAGTTTTATTTCTTTGGCCATAAATAAGAGAATTGATTACATATTACATGGGTTATTTAATGATAAAAACATTGTTCTGGGAATTATAATAGTTTGGTTTTCAGTGTTTATTCAGTTGTTGTGAAGAATAAACAAGAATATTTTTCTTTTTATGTTCTACCAGGCACCAGAAGTAATCAGAATGCAAGATAAAAACCCATATAGCTTTCAGTCAGATGTATATGCATTTGGGATTGTTCTGTATGAATTGATGACCGGACAGTTACCTTATTCAAACATCAACAACAGGGACCAGGTAAATATCTACCGTCTCTTGAGGTTCATTTTACTGTTTGTAGAAAGGCTCCAATTCATTGTAGAAAAGAGGTATTGGATCCTGGGTAAGCATGAAAGATAGATCTCTTGATTTTTGTCACCAGTTTTAGAACCTTTTGTATACTTTTGGCAGTAATAGCAGCATGTAAGGCCTTTCCTGGAAATATCATGCTTAAGTCTTGTAGTGGAGTGAAACTCCTGATCTTCTGACTGGAAACTAGAGATGCAATCATGATTATACCTCATGCCTCTTGACCATGGCACAGTTAGAAGAATGAGCTCTGCTGCTACAGCATCTGGGCTTATCCCTTTTACTCTATCACAGATTGTGCTATCTGAGCCAGGCACTCAGCTCTGAACTTCTTTATATCAAATCCTTTTAAAATTATTAAGATTTCTCCATACTTCTTAAATTTTTAAAACTAGGTTACATCATGCTTTCATTTTTCTGTGGTGAGAATTCAAGTAGGAGAGAATTTTTTACTTCTCTCTTCCTAAAAGTTCCTGTTCTCTGTTCCTTACCTTCCAAAGTATCAACAAAGCCTTGTGTAGCTCTTTGCCTTTTCGATCCCAGCCATATTAAATTCACCTAGTCTTTTAATACTGGCCAAGAAAAATAAATTGTCTTTACTGAAATTACCTCATATACCTCAACATTTTAAAAGTGCGTGTGTGTGTGTGTGTGTGTGTGTGTGTAGAGAGATTGCTGCAATTACAGTTAATATATTAGAAAACAATAGTTGACCATATAAACTGTGATTAAATAATATTTATACATAATACTGTGATGCACATGTGAATCACCTGGATAATTTGTTTAAAAAATGGAGATGCTGGAGTAGATTCTGATTCAGTGGGGTGGGTCCAAGCATCTGCTTTTTTAATAAGTTTGCTAGTTGTTTCTGATACATACCAAAGTTGAGAATCACCAGTGTAAAGAATCTTCAAAAGCGTGAGTGTTTTATGTGTTTGATCATAACCTCCCAACCTAATGAAATGATAGTTTTTAATGTATAAATATATTACTTCATTTAGTAGTGTTTTCGTCAACAGTTCAACTCGCAGTCTTTTTGGTGATACTAAAGCTTTCTGAAGATACTGAGTAGCTTTCTCACTAAGAACTTATAACTATCATGTGATATCAGAGAAGTAATCTAAGTTGTCATATACTTTGCATATGCTTATTGAATCACCATATGGCCCTTACCCAACAGTGGTCTTGATTCTCTATTGTGAGAATTTTAAAAATGACTGCCTTTCTACATAAGTCAGCATAAAACTAATTTTTTAAATTGCTGTTTGGTCTTTCTAACTACTTTCATAGCTTTAGAATGTTGGATTATAGCTTTAAGTGTTAAAAAGAAATCTATGACCTGGCTTCTGATCTTTTAAGCCTCCTTGAAACTTCGATTCAGGATGGACGAAGATAGTAGCTAAAGAACATAAAAACATTGAAACATTGCACTTAGTGTACTTGTGACAGATCCTAGATCACTGAGATGATTGATTTGATGATGGCAGTCTGAAGAGCAAGATTGTCTCTAATTTAGCAGCTTCATGTGCTCTGCCTTTTACAGTCTTATTAACTCAACCATACAGCATAATACCCCATGCCGTGTTTAATTTTCCTATGCATTCTGTTCTTCTAGAGGAATTATGAGGGAATTTTAGTTTAGTTTTAATTGATTTATCATAGAGACTACAAATAATAAAAATTTATGAACCTAAGTTCTGGATGAAATCCATTTGTCAGTAAATAAGTTTATTTTAATAAAATAATAAAGTTATATTATGGAAATAAGTAGTAGTGTCTCCAAAATATGGAAAAAGCGTCCCAGAGTTCTGCACTCATCCACTTCTTGGCATTTTAGGTGCTTTGTCCTCCATGGGAGTATAATAAATGATGTGGCAAGGGCTTACTCTCCATGAGAGAAGTAAGTGAGTGACCAACAGAAGGGTAAGGCCTTTACTAGTTAATTCTTTCTGGTAGTATAGTCAGAGCCTTCTGGAATATGCCAGTCTGAAACCAAGTATTTGATGAAGAAAAAGGTTATGATAGAATTATATACTCTTCCCATCATCCCCATTCTACTTCATTACCTTCTAGTCTGCTTTCTTCAAGTGGCGTCCATGGAACTCCCTCTTTTGAATCAGTAACTCTAGTCATCCTCAGTGAAGTAACCCCAGGGTACTGTTCCATCCATCTCCTTGATTTGATTTTTCTTTCTCTCATACTTTGATCTCCATGGCTCCCAGATTGGACTTCTATTTGAAAATCTAGGAATATTCTTTTTTTTCCATGGGAGATGGGACAGCTGCTTCATTACCATATAATATGGTAATGACCCAATGCCCCTACACTCTCACCCCCCCACAGTCTGAGGTGGCAGGTTTTGCCTGTAAATTCAAGGCAGGACTCTGGTTAAAGCAGTGTGATGTAATGGCAGACCTTGGACTCATGACCTGCATGACCTGGCCACTGTACCTCTCTAGGTATCTTTTGTTTTTTCAATTATTAGAAATAAGAGAATGAACTAAAGAATTCCTTAACAGTTACAAAGATTGAGTTCTTTCCTAAAACAGGTTTCTTAGCTCCTTGAGGGATGACCATCCCTATGTTACTTTGCAGAGTAGCATGCCTTTTCACTTCACTTACCCTAGTGCTGAAAGTCTGAGAAATTGCTTTGTCATTTTTTCCCCCTCTTTATCATTCTGTTTTGCTCTCTTTCAGTGCAGCTTCTTTACTAAATTGGGGTTAATAATGTGCTCAGTTAAGCTAGGTATATTGGCTTTTTTTTTTTATTGGAGCAGATGTGCTGTGTCATCTTAGAAGAAAATAACATTTATTATTTCACGTGAATTCCAGTTATCATTGCTATAACAAACCACCTAAAACATAGTGGCTTAGACAAATTGTAAATCTGCAATTTGAGCTTCTCTCAGTGTGGAAGGTTTATGTCTATTTCATATGGTATTACTGGCTGTGGTAGATTCACTGGGTGTTAAAGGATCTACTTCCAAAATGGCTTGATCACATACCTGAGAAGGTATGTGACCAGTTAGCCGTCAGCTGGAAGCTTAGTCTTGGCCGAGGGCCAGGGGCCTCAATTCTTCTCAACGTGGGACTTTCTGTGACGACTTTTTCACAGGAACCTTGGACTTTCTCACAGTATGGTGGCTGGGTTCTAAGCACAAGATCTCAAGGAGACAGAAAATGATAATAAGTACCAGTGTCTTATCAACATGCAAATTATTTTATTTTAATAAAAAATTTTGATATCTACTGTATGCAAAAGCTGTGAGATATGGAAGGATGCAAAGGTGAATAAAACACAGGCTGTGCTCTCAGTTCTGTTGAGGCAGTGCAGGGGGTGATGTTGAGGATGAGCAGACCGGTGCTCCAATAACACAGAGGAGTGAATGAAGGGGTAGGGATACCAGGAGTGCGGCTGTAGATTGAGAATGAAAATAACCAGTCCCAGAATTTCAAACTGAGCTATTGATTTTGTAGTTAAGTGCCACTTGAATTTTCTATCCATGAACTACATCCAGGAAAGACCTTTCCTTTAAGCTTAAATAGTTGCAAAGAATGTAATTTCCAGTGTATTATATTGACATTTCAAAAAAAAAAAAAAGCATTAATATCATTCTTTTAAATGTACCAAATAAAATCTAAACGTCATACAGATTTGATTCTTACCATCATCACTTGTTTAAAAAATAAAAAACCTCGGGCTTCCCTGGTGGCGCAGTGGTTGGGAGTCCGCCTGCCGATGCAAGGGACGCGGGTTTGTGCCCCGGTCTGGGAGGATCATGCGTGCCGCGGAGCGGCTGGGCCCGTGAGCCATGGCCGCTGAGCCTGCACGTCCGGAGCCTGTGCTCCGCGGCGGAAGAGGCCGCGGCGGTGGGAGGCCCGCGTACCGCAAAATAAGTAAATAAATAAATAAAAATAAAAAACCTCTTCATTAATTTTTGGAATTTTACATGGCTCTTTTTTTGTCTCTAAATTATTTGTATCCTACTTCCTCCACAGAATTTTTTCCCTAATGTAACATATTTGTGTGCTCTAAACGCTTTTATTGATCATTCAAACGGGCTTCCCTGGTGGCGCAGTGGTTGGGAGTCCGCCTGCCGATGCAAGGGACGCGGGTTTGTGCCCCGGTCTGGGAGGATCATGCGTGCCGCGGAGCGGCTGGGCCCGTGAGCCATGGCCGCTGAGCCTGCACGTCCGGAGCCTGTGCTCCGCGGCGGAAGAGGCCGCGGCGGTGGGAGGCCCGCGTACCGCAAAATAAGTAAATAAATAAATAAAAATAAAAAACCTCTTCATTAATTTTTGGAATTTTACATGGCTCTTTTTTTGTCTCTAAATTATTTGTATCCTACTTCCTCCACAGAATTTTTTCCCTAATGTAACATATTTGTGTGCTCTAAACGCTTTTATTGATCATTCAAATTATATCTCTGCAACAAAAAAATGTGCTTAAATTTAGAACTAAAAAAATTTTTCCCAGTGACTTTAGGCTGTTAACTTTTTTAATTCCAAATTATGCTATTAATAATTATTAAATATATAACTGATGAAAATAACATGAGTTTTGATATAAAGAAACAGGTAAAATTTTATTGGAAATGTGTTTCTTAATGAGCAACATGGGGCTTTTGTTTTCTCTTCAGTCATTTATTTGTGAAAAATATGACTTTTGCTAGAATAAGCTGGGACTTAGCATCAGTCCTTCTAGTTTTATTTTTAAAGAAGTAAGTGCTGAGGAATATTGTTCAAATAAATAAGAATATGGGAAAGTCAGGAGTTTTGTTATAACCACATGCAGAGTTCAGCAGACCACCTTCACGTTCAGTAATTCAATAAGTCTTATAGAACTCACTGAAAGTTGTTAGTACTCACGTTATGGTTTATTAAAACAAAAGGATACAGATTAAAATCAGCCAAGGGAAGAGGTACATAGGGCAGAATTCAGGAGAGTTTCACATATGGAACTTGCAGTTGTCCTCTTCTTGTGGAATTGTGGCCAGCACGAAATTCCCCTGGCAGTCATGCGTGACAATGTGCAGGAAGTGTTGCCAGCCAGGGAAATTCACTGGAGCCTTGAGTTATTGTTGGGCCTCAGTCAGGTAGATAACAATTGACCACCTCTGTTGTTGACCTTAGTTTTTAGCCTCTACAGAGGTCAAGCTGATACCATATAACTTAAAGCCCCCTCTGTAGAATCACATTGATAGCATAGACTATCTGACATGACCTTAGACTCCCAGATAAACAAAGGCACTCTTACCAGGCAGGACATTCCAAGGGCTTAGGGATTACCTCCCAGGAGCCAAAGGCAAAGGTCAGCCCTCTCTTTGGGCAAGATTAGTTCTTTACCATAACCATATCACTGCTTATTTGAACTCATTTCTGTAGCATACCAAAAATTATATAATAACTTGTCATTTAAAATTATTTTAACAATCAGCTGACAATTCAGTTAATTTTGCTGAAAGCAAGAATTGGAAACCAACTGTCTTGCAAAGGGATTTGCTACCCATTCATTAGAGTCCAGTTAGACCAATATTTGGAAGCGTCCCTTTGGTACCCTCAGCAGTGTTACACCCTGACGCAGTGTGCACGGTAGTTAAATTCCATATAGGTAAAAGTTGTGCCTTTTGTGAAGTGGGAGAAGGGCAGTTGTGACAGAGGAGATGGAAGGGAGGTTAAACTTTACACCTTCACTTTAGTGGTGCTTGGGCAAATCATCTTATAGTTAAATAAGGGTTATTACAGCACCAAACAAGAAATAACATAAAATAGCATATCAAACTTGACTGTTCCTAAAATTTATCAGTTCTACCCTGTAACCTGGGATCTCTGGCTCTCTCCACCTTAGCCTCTAGTCTGTCCCTATTGAACCTATTCCCTGTAAGATCAAAACCCCTCTCTCTTCCGTGACACCTAAGACTGCTAACATCTGTCTCTGCCCACTTTCAAAAGAACCACAGGTTAGAAAATTAGAAACGTAAGAAATCAGAAAAATTATAAATCTCTGTACCCAGGGAAGACAAGGCTTTTTACTTTATTAAACATAAGATTTTAGTTCCCAGTAGCTTTACCTTCCCTCTGGAGGAGGCTCTGATTCTCAGACTTATATAACTAAATGCCCCATTAGAGTTTCCTCAACAAAAGAATTTAAAATTCAGATGCCAAAACAACTGTTAAAAAGGTTAACTATTTTGGTTGAGTAGAAGAGGCATGATCCAAATCTGTGTTTCAGAATGATTACTATCAGGGGGAAAATGGATTGGATAAGGAGAGACTGGAAGCATGCGGAGCAGTTAGGAGACCTTTGCAGTAGTCCAGGGGTCATGAAGATTTCGCCTTGCAGCACATAAGTATTGATTCCCCACAGTCTATGGTATATAGGAATCAGAATACTAGTAGCATTGTGTTTTTTAACTTTCTATTGAAGTGTAACGTACATACAGGAAAGTACATGTCATAAGTGCACAGCTTGTTGAATTTTCAATGTTTATATATTTTTCAACTTATCTACAAGGTTATATGATTTGCCTTTTTTTTCCTCCCCAGATAATTTTTATGGTGGGACGAGGATATCTATCTCCAGATCTCAGTAAGGTACGGAGTAACTGTCCAAAAGCCATGAAGAGGTTAATGGCAGAGTGCCTAAAAAAGAAAAGAGATGAGAGACCACTCTTTCCCCAAGTAAGAAAAAGCTTTATGTTACCTAGAAGGAGAGACTAATATTCTGATGCAGATTTTTAAGCACTTTTTAGAGCACAGTTTGTATTTACAGATTTGGATTCCATGTGATTATGTGCAGACTCCAGATAAGTAAACACATAAAGGTGATTTTATAAAGGTTGAACAGTGGTACACCTAAAAACTTAGGATCCCAGTACAAAGTATTCAGAAAGATTTTGCTTTTGTCTAGCAGTTCTCAAACTTTTTGGTCTCAGAACTGTTTTCTACACTTAAAAATTATTGAAGAACCCCAAAGACCTTCTGTTTGTATAAGTAGTAATTCCCATTTTAGAAATTAATACTTTTTAAAATATTTATTTATGAATGTATTTAAACATAATAAAACCATTACATGTTGAATAATGTTTTATGAAAAATAATTATATTTTCCCAAACAAAAAATATTTAGAAAAAAGTGGCATTGTTTTAGACTTTTCGCAAATCTCTGCAAAAAGAAGATAGCTGGATTCTCTGCTTTGCATTCATTATGTTGCAATATCTTACATTATATAGCCTCTGAAAACTCCACTTACACTTGTAAAATAATGAAAGTAAAAAAGGCAAATAATATCTTAGTGCTAGTATAAAAATAGTTTTTCTACAGGCTACACTTTGTGCACTGCTACTTTTATTCTTCTTGATGGTAAAATTATGTAACAGGTTGCAAGCATCCTTTTAATGTTAGGTTTTTTTGAGGGGCATTTTTACCTGGGACAAAAAGAGAAGGCACCTGTTGGTACTGTCTGCCATTCTCTGATTCTTGGAAACTTTCCATTGTTTTTTATCTTTTCAAATTGGAAGGCTAAAGCCCTCAATTTAATAATCTTTCATAAGCCTCATGAACTGGAACTAAGTACCTGAACAGTTTTAGAAAGTTTAGCTGTAGTAGATATTGTAATATAAATTCCGTGTTTTATAATGCCTAGAAAATCATGATAGCGCTATATAAATCTGTCCCGATGAGTCAGTACAGTTTTCAGGTGGGAGCTGACTCCCATAACTCAGCTACCATGTGGTCCTTTGTGAATGCTATCAGTCCTAGCTCAGTTTCTTAGAAGTCAGTGTTACGGGAATGTGTGAATCTTTTATCCCTATCTAAAGAATTAAAGATCGAATTTTTGCTTTTAACAAGTCTCTCAGGGGCTTGTCCCAGAGCAGGGAGGGGAGGCTGAATGGCTGCACGGGTAGTTATATGTTTTACGTATTGGAATTCTACGTTACTATTCCTTTGAGGGAGAGTTGGGTTTTTTTAAACCCGGAAAACCACTGGTTTAAGACCATCAAAGTAAACAACCGGTATTGTTGGCCATTGTGAGCAGGACTCTGCACCCTGTTCTCTTTTCACATCCCAGGTGCTAGGGTTTCCTATTTAACGTGGTTGATGTACATTAATAATGCAGATTATATCCTTAGGCTCACTTTTCAAATGGTATTAAAAGGGGCAAAATGGTCATATTTCTTAATATAAGTAATATTTTATTCTTTTCATGGTATCAGAAAATGAAATACGTATATGAGTATTCCAGGTTATTAAAAGCTGCCCCTTTCAAGTATTATTTTTAAATTTTCATTACAGGATGTCTCTTCATACCATACACAAACATAAATTTCAGATGGCTAAAGGTTTATATGTAAAAAACAAAACTATAAAATAACAAATCATTTTTATAACCTTAAGGTAGGAAAGGCTCTCCTAAGCAAGAGGCAGAATCCAGAAGTTATAAAGGAAAAGGTTAGCAGGTATGACTACATTAAACATTTTTAAATTTCTATACAGTAAAAATAATATTGAAAGAAAAACACTGAGAAAAATAATTGTAGCATGTATAATAAAGAGTGTTTATGCTATACAGAGGACTCCTACAAATCCATAAGTAAAAGGTAATCAAAAGAAAATCAACAAAGAATATGCACTGGTGATTCACAGAAGAAGTACAAATGCTGAATGAACTTAAGCACAGGATGTTAGGAATAATAACATCAGTGATAATCAGTAAAATGCAAAGTCACAGTTGTGAGATACATTTTGATTTTGTCTCTGAGATTGACAGTATCCAGCATTGGGAACAATGTTGGGAAGTAAGGAAGGAATGTTGGTAGGAATGTAAATTGGTTTGACCTGTTTTGAAAGGACTTGGTAGACTCCATAAACTTAAAATACATATACCTTTTGCTCTGGTAATTCCACTCCTGAAAATCTATGCTATATGCTACAGAATCTGCCCCCACAGCTCTCCAGATAAAGACTGTTAACTGTAATTGGAAAAATTAAAGACATAAAGATCAAGGTATCTCTCTGTAGATGGCTTGGATGTCAGTGAGGGAAAAAGAAAGCAATGCAGAAAAATGTGTACTGTGATACCACTTTAAATGGTGGTGAGGGAGGGGATGGGCTCTGTTTTCATATGTGCATGTTTATGCATAGGAAAGGTCCAGAAGAAAGTATAGACTCTTTAACAGTGGTTACCCCTGGAAGGTAGGATTCATACTTTTCTGTATTTGAATTTTTATTTGTGTGTTATGCTTATAATTTTAAAAAATTTGTAACATTGCTTCTTTGCCTTCTTATACTAATCATTCTACAGATTACAGTTTAACTTTAAAAAAATTTTTGGTAGCTGAGAAAAATAATAATAGTATATAATGTGTATAATACTACTATATAGTATATAATCATAGTAGTAGTAATAATGGCTGCTAAAGTTTTATTGAGTACTTACTATATACCAGGCATTGTGCTAAGCCCTTTATATGTATGTTTCATGCATTATCATACTGTATGCCTTCAAGAGTCATAACCTGTTTCTTTGTACCTTAAAAATGTACTGTATTTCTACATTTTGTGCATTGGTGTCTACTTGTAGAGTTTTCCTATCTTTTCTTTCACTTATGGGTATTCATCTGTCACTTCTCACTCCTGTGGCACTGGCATTCTGGGTCATTGGGGCCCTGTTTTTAATTATGTGTGTGTAAGACATTTCCCATTACTAAATTTCTTTAAAGAATAAGTTGCTCTAATGGTTCTGTTTATGAAGTTATATAGTGCTTTTGTTATTTATGCTCCATCTTCTTCCCAAAAGGGACTTGTGGTCTGTGAGAAATAGGTATATAATTGATTTTAAATGTTTTATTATTTACTGTTTCAAGGCTGGCGAATGATCTAAAATTATAAAATGTAAAGAAAAGCTAACTATGGGTTGGTTAGTTCTCCCATTCAGTTTATAGAGAGTAAAGCTGTAATAGTTTGGTAATTTTCTCTTCTTTTTAAGGAAAAGTATCAGTTTCTTTAGTATTTTCCAGGCATTTGAGATAATAGTGAAAACAATGTATTATAAGATTTCATATGCTTTCTTGTAGAGTATGATGGGGCTCTTAAAGATTAACACCACCTAGATTTTCATCATTCTTTCTTTTTTTTCCTTTTTTTCTTTTTTTAGATTCTCGCCTCTATTGAGCTGCTGGCCCGCTCATTGCCAAAAATTCACCGCAGTGCATCCGAACCCTCTTTGAATCGGGCTGGCTTCCAAACAGAGGATTTTAGTCTGTATGCTTGTGCTTCTCCAAAAACACCCATCCAAGCAGGGGGATATGGTGCGTTTCCTGTCCATTTAACAAACTAAATGAGTGACAGAGTGTAGGACGATAGGGACAAAGGAAAGTGAACATTTGTTTGCTTACATATTTGTTAAATTGAATAGGATTTTTTTTTTAAGGTGAACAAAAGAACATGTATGTTTTTAAAGACTGGATATAATTGTTTTGACAATCTAAAATTCATACTAAGCATTAGAGTTTCAACATCGAAGGGTTTTTGAAGTTCTCAGACATTGCTGAAAATTCACAGTACCTTTTCCAGAGGTTTTACTTCCCGTTCCAAGTTTCTTTTGTTTACTTGGTTATTCTAATTATTAAACTTCAGTTAAACTTTCCTCACTCACCTTTTGCTGTTAGCTGTCCTGCATCCATTAGGGGCTCCAAGAACAACGCTGCACCTGTGTTTGTGATGGCTGGTGGGAAGCTGACAGTAGGTTAGGCTGTGTTAGTGAAGGTAAACTGAATAGGTCTAATTAGGAGTCACTAAAATTGAATAAGCTTATTTTTATTCTTAATATTTTTTCTTATAACTATTTCTTTTTGTTAATACAGTTTGGAAAATATAGTTGTCCTTTATTCCCTTAGAGCAGTATAAATTATGGGTGCAGGTAACCAGAGATATTGCTGAGTGGCATGTTTGACATGAGTAACATGGTTTAACTTTGGATTTTTGGTTAATATTTCTTTATATATTAAGGATGTCTTACACAATGCAGAAGTCAAATTTCCTTACAAATGCATTGCCTCCTCTTCCTTCCAAAAAGTTCCACAGAATTCTGTGAGAACTTGTAGATTTGTTTTGTTCTTCTTTTAGATAACTGTGGTTGCCAAACAACCAGGTAATGGATTTTTTAAAAATTATTATTATTTTAGGTTATACTCACCTCTCATGATGCATATTAGCAATGACTTATCCGTGTGTCTCTGTCCTCCTTATTATGAATGTATGAATTGTTTTTTTTTATTCCACGGGGTGTGTGTGTGTGTGTGTGTGTGTGTAGTACGTTTAGCGCTTTCTAATGCTTACACTTTCTTATGTAGAAAATAACTGTAATGTGGCAGTCAGTATATTCTTACTGTGAACCAGAATCTTAACGGGAATCAAAAGTGAAAGAAGCAGCATTGCTGTCATCAAAGAAATCACCGTCTGTACTTCAGAGTCAGCCTAGGGACCAAAGCTAGGCTCTTAAATACATCTTCATTTACTCAGTTCGGAGTTGTGATGATATTAAATATAACTGACAGTTCCAGGGTTATTCAGGGGCACACAGATGGCATTTGCATAAATGCCATCCTTCTTGGAAGCCAATAAAGAAGAAAATCGGGAGGGCTTTAGTGGTAATTTAGTCTTGTAAGTATCACAAATAAATTTTTGAAATATTTTCTTTATTTGAATAAGTTAGATTTCATCCAGGGAAACCACTTAGTGATAAGTTTGGCACACCTTGTGCCCCCCCCCCCATTTGGGTATCTTAAGATAAATAATGCCATTCATGTTTTTAGAAATCAGTTCATGACTTTGAATGTAGGAAGAATAGTGAAAAAGAACGTTTATTGTATTTTAAAAAATGAGAATAAGAAAGTCATAAAAGAATGTGACTTATTCAGAAACATCAAAGTGTGTGATTTCTAAATCTTCCAGTGACGCTAAAGATGTGATTATTAGTAACTATTAGATTGGGTTTTATTTATTCACAAATTGAATAGCAAGCATGTAGCTAACAAAGTTTTTACACATTGACTTGGTCTGTGGAATGCTCAAAGGTTTGGGCATTTTGAGGCACAAGAGTCAAAGGATCTTTTTATTGATAGAGCTCTTTCATAATTCCTCAGCATACTTTCTTCACTTTATCTTCCTTTCTTTGCTCACTCTCTTTTTTTCCCCCCAACACTACCCACACTAAACACTACCCAACTCCCCACATCTGCATTTGACACTTTTCCTTCCTTCCTTTACCAGTCTCCTTTGCCAGAGGGCATTTGCTAAACTCTTAGAACTGCTCAGAAAACTCATTATGCCAGGGGTCCCCAACCCCTGGGCCGCACAGCAGGAGGTGAGTGGCAGGCAATCGAGCAAAGCTTCATCTGTATTTACAGCTGCTTCCCATTGCTCACATTACCACCTGAGCTCCACCTCCTGTCAGCATTATGGTGAATGTATAATTATTTCATTATATATTACAGTGTAATAATAATAGAAATAAAGTGCACAATAAATGTAATGTGCTTGAATCATCCTAAAACCATTCCCCCGACCCCATCCGTGGAAAAATTGTCTTCCACGAAACCGGTCCCTGGTGCCAAAAAGGTTGGGGACCACTGCATAATACCATCCCATTGACATTTGAACATGCCTTCAAAGGACTGCATAGTAATTCTCTTCTTTCCAAATTGGGCCCACTGGAAGTGTTATTGGGAGAACATTAAAAATAGAGCAGGTGAAATATATAAATAACATGGATCTGGAGAAGTAGAAAGCACTAGAATGATACATGGTAGTTTCCCTTTCTGTTGTTGCTGTTTGTCTGTTTGATACTGAGTTTTAGATGTATTCTCCAAATAAGAAAAACATTATTTTCCTAACCATATGTAGAGTTAATCTTTTTGACTAAGGAATTGAAACAGAAGGACATTCATTATCTTGCAGCTGACGGCTTCTTTCCTAAAACCTGAAGCCTCGGATATTTTCATTAAAGTTGATATCCTTCTTCAGAAGGCAGCCTTTTTATAACATTTGTTTTACATTTAAAAAGTTTTACTAGTCAGTGATGAGGAATGAGGTTTGTCTTCTTGGGTTTAAGTAGTTTAGGGATCACAGCATTTAACTCAAATACTTCAGGTTTGTTTGTTTTCAGATATTACAGGATTGTACCAACCATTTAAATAACTAAACCGGTAGTTAAATTCATTCTCTCTAAAATAGTGACTATTTAACACACTTGCTTATTACATGGCCTTTCTCTCAAGTGGATCACTCTCAATTTAAGGAAATGATCTGCCTCTTTTTTTTTAAGTGTTATGAAAAGAGTATTTCATGACTAAAACGTTTTGTCAGTTATAGTCTTATTTGAGAATTACTGAACATTTCTGTGGTACTTTTTCTTTTACTAAATATTTCATCTCTCCTGTGATCATTTCTCTAAGAATTTTAAGAAGTCCAGTGTGTCTCTGCCAGAATGTTCCTCATCCTTTAGAAACTGCCTGAAAGGTCACCACAAAAAAAGAATGGGACTTATTCTAGTTTCAAATGACTGCCCCCCTACATCTAAGACAGGGATTTATTTACGTACAAAATAACGTGTTAGATTTTTCACAGCATATTTAATCTTTAAGGAGTTTTTTATCAAATTGTATGTGTAACAGCCACTGAAATACATTTAATTCTAGAATTAAGGGTGATTATTTAGTAATAGCTTAAAACTAGTTAATCAAGTCCTTAGCTTTCAAATTAACAAAGCATGATATTTGAGGTGTCTGAAATCTTGGAATCTTCCCAAGTGTTCTTTGCCCCGTTCCTAAATAAAGTCAGATGGAAAATAGAGCTTAGGTTATTCTCAGCCAAAAAGGAGGTTATTTAAAAAGTTTCATTTTGGCCTCTGATTGATTTTTTGGTTAATAATTAAATTATTTTATTTTAAAGTCAGAATATCTAGATGTTTCACTTCAGATAACTTCACACAAGCAGAGTTGGCTCTTACCTCAAATAAAATAGGGTAGGAGTTGGGATAGTAGAGATTTCCTGATATGCAAGGAGGAATAAGCAAGAAAAAAAAATTTTTTTTTTCCAATAGCAGATCCATCTCCTGTTACCCCTGTCTTTTCCTTAAATTTTCTGTGATTTCAGGGACATGTGTAGAAGGAGTTTTATTTTATTGATCTCTAAACTATGAGTCCTTTTTGTCTTTTTTTAACCCCCCTGGACCTGAAGTCTGATTATGAAAAGAACCACATTCCATTAGAAGCAGTAGACTCTGGTAGCGAGATCTTTAGTGTTTGCTTTATTGGTATTTGATTTGGAGTTTGTTGGCAAGATTTTGTGCTTTGGGGGGTTGTTTTGTGTGTTTGTATTTTTAGGGCTAATATTTAAGTTTGTAGAGAACACTGTTAAATGAAATGGAGTGTCTAATTGTAATAATGAGTAGGAAACATCTGAAGATTTTTTTAAGTTATTTTTAACATGGTATGTAAGATTTGGGCTTAGAGTTTATCATTTTCTGATATTTTCTCACTTAATAGATGAATTCTAGCCGTTTTTTATAAAGATTTCTGTTAAGCAAATCCTGTTTTCACATTGGCTTCCTTTAAGGAGTTTTAGGTTCTGTTAGATACAGTGACTACTCATAAAAACTGTTGAAAATTGCTTTTAAGAAATGTATTAAAATACTTCTGAAAAAAATAGCAACCATAAAACCGTAAGCAAAGGTAGTAAGGATGTTTATGTATTTCTAGAGTCTCTGTTAACATAATAGCCTCCTATGATTATGCTCTAAATGTTTTACTCTCCAAGGTCTTAGTAATTTGACTTTTTTTTTTTTCTTCCAATCAGTGCCAATTTCCCCAGTTCTTTTAACTTTAAATATGAAGGGTAATAAATGTTTTACCCTTCCTTGATCTTTTGACTCAAAATACCTTGGTTAATTGTTGAAAGGAATCCTTAGATGGAAAGAGATAGTATCACTGTCTGCACTCCAATTAGTAGTTGTATTCAGAACAGGAAAGCAAATTATTAATTATTGAAAATCATTTAGGGGGTCTGTTAATTGTTAAGACCTTGGACTTTGGAGTCAGCACCTGGCTTTACATTCCAACTTCATTATCAATCCGTTGTTTGTTGGAACATGCCAGTGGTTCTCTAGTACACCAGTTGAAATCGAATAGCAATCAGAAAAGATAGATTATTCCTTGATTAAACAGTGTATTCATATAAGTGATTGCTTGGATCCTCATCAGAAGCTATATTACAGAAAAATGATGTTAAGGCTCACTAAATTCTGGTAGCTGTCAGTTATCAACCAACCCGCAGAAATTAACTGTGGTGTATTTATTAAGAGGAACCCTAGTTTGAAGTAGAAGCTGTGGACAAAATAGTAGGTGAAAAATAATGGCATGAAGCCCCCAAATTCAGTAAA